CAGCTCATCATGAAGCTCGAGAGTACGGGTCTTAACTCAGTACTACTGTACGGATGCACTCATTGGACTCTACATTTTACACGCAATCACACAGAACATGTCCATGCATGGTAGAAAACAGGAGTCCCAGTGGATGGTGTTGGAATTCACCAGCAAAGAGAACATAGCAGCTGTGCTTTGAATCACTCAGCGGAGAAACAGAACGACCAAAAGCACAAAATATGTGAGAATGATGTTCCCTGGAAACTTGATCCAATGGACAGACTCAATACGCTGCTGTTTATATTCCTTTAGCTGAACCAAACATTCATTCTGCCACTTGAGACACAAACATCAAGCTTCACAAATAGGTTTGAACTATCATCAATTCTTAGGCAATCACAGGCCCGGTTCTACGAGGGTGCAAAAGGATAGATTACACCCTCATTTTAAATTTCTGCACCCTCAATTGAATGGACACGAAATAATAATAATATATATTTTTTTACAATTAGTAATCAAGGCTTTCATTATACAACAGTGACTCAGATCTGATGGTCCTGACAGGTGTAGTGATCAGTCTGCTCAGTGGGGAGCAGACTGAGGGACCCAATACACCTGCGGTGTATTTTTCATGGCTGTTGCCAGTCTCTGTAGCTGCTGCACCCCCTTCAAGCACCACAAGTCATTTTGTTCTAGAACCTGATTACAGGAGAGAGCTGCTACAGTTACACTAAAAGAAGACATTTTTAAATGAAGAGTCAGCAGAATTTAAGCTGCTCCATCGTCCCTTCTGGGCCTCCATACATGTGTGGTGGTCTGCAGAGACCCTGTCCTCTGTCTTGATTTTACTGTTCTGGTTTGTTCTGGTTGACTCGGGACGTTTCTGGGCGGAGCTGGTGTGTTTCCTCCATCCAATGAAAGCGTGCACAGGGATGGGCGATATGGCCTTCAAAATAAAAACAAATGTTCATCCATAAACAACAAAGAAATGACTAAAAACAAGTTTCTGCTTTTATTTTATCAATAAATTTAACAAAAGCAAACTGAGTTTCCCTCTTGGGATTAATAAGGTAACCTGAATTTCTCTTTAGAGGTCAAAGGGCGAGATGTAAAGTTGTCTTTATAAATATGCTATGCAGGGTACAACAAAATTACATGAAGCAGATCAACTTCAGCAAAATACAGGTTGCTGGTTATCACATACCAGCCGATGAGCCCAGGAGGAGGGGCTTAGTTTGAATGAACATTTCTACTGGATCTACCTTTAAGGTTAACCGTCCAATTGTGTGTGAATGAATCCAACTTGGTGTAAGGTGAATATGGCCTGTAATGACAACGATAAACAAGACGGACCATGGCTGGAATCAACAACAGTTACTCCAGGAGGGGACAGGATTATGCCACAGACCGAAACACACTAGTAGCTAAATCTTCTTACTGCATTCCTGATACTTGTGAGTAATCACTCTGTGTTTCTAATCCCTTTGTGCGAGCGGATCATGGGTTCCGTGGTTAAATGGGAATAAGGCTCCAGTATGGGCTGCGTGTTGAGGGGCTCAGCTGTCCTAAGGTGACCTGAGATGATTGGCAACAGCACTTGGCTTTGTTTGTTTTTTACCAGTCATTTTAAACTCACGCAGGGATGTAAAACAATGGATTTACTCGAGTCTTACATCTTAGTGTCTATGTATTTCACTATAAAAAACATAAATCATACACTGCTTTATACCTCTGCTGAATGAAACTACATGTGTTTTTGTTTCCTGTGCAGAGTAATATTTTACTTGTACAGCTAGGGTGACCATATTTTCAAACCTCCAAATCAGAACACTTCTATCCACATGTACGGATCCACAGATCTGTGACCTGCTCTGGTCTCAAGAGGTGGTCGGTACAGGTTTCTCCTGAGCAGTTCTACTTCCTGTCTGTACCAACCGTTTGTGTACGCTCGTTTGAATATGACTTTGTAAGTCGCCACTTCCACAGTGAGCGTCTGAAAATAGACACTTGCAGGGTGTGCTTAACACAGCATATTCATTGGCTGCTACTTTTCACAGGAAGCTGTAACTCTTTGTGAAACGCTGACTTCCTGTTCAGTATGACAGCTCGCCTGCCTGTTCGCATGATAAGCTAGTCTAGCTAAGCAACAGACTGACACATGATCAGACAAATCAGTGTTGAACTTAGTCTGCATGGAGACATCAAAAAAACCTTCATGTGATCACTCTCATCTGTAGCTGCTGTTTGGGACGAGCAGCGGACTTAAGGAGTAAGTGGGGCAGCAGTAAGTGGGAGCTCAGTCTGTAGGGACTTGGGTTAGGAACCGGATCAAGTCCCGCTGCGGACAAAATCTGGAAATTGGTCTGGTAGCTGGAGAGGTGCCAGTTCACTTCCTGAGCATTGCCAATATGCCCTTGAGCAAGGCACTGACCCCCCTGATGAGACATTTCTTTCCTTAAACTAGTTCCATTTTCAGTTACCTCTAAATCACCTCGCTGCTGGTCCCTGGTTCTGAACCCCCGTGACTCTACATTACAAGTCTTTAAGCACAGCGTCAGAGAACCTGCTCCAAAGATCCGAATCAAACAAAGCAGGCCTGAGTCATGTGTGTCTGTATACAGGTGATCTTATCAGAGCCATCAGCAGACCGTCTGCTGGTCAGCAGCAGCTTTATCTCTTTTTCTCACATATTTCCATCACAGAGGATCATCTTTGATCGTGTTTAACCAACACACACACACACACACACACACACACACACACACACACACACACACACACACACACACACACACACACACACACACACACACACACACACACACACACACACACACACACACACAGACTGGACGGTGACTCAGGGTTCACTGAGGGTCTTGTGCCTGACACACGGGAACTATTGATCTCACGCTTTATCCAATCATTGTGGAGAGCTGGGTCTATTTTTAGCTCACTTTTCATACTTAGTCGAGTTAGAGCCACGTGCTGATAGTCTGACCCTGAACATGACGGGACCAGAGTCACTCACGATAACAGCTACAATTGATCCTCGAGCACAGTGGTTCTCAACTGGTGGGACGGGTCCCAAAAGTGGGACGTGGAGCCGTTTTCAGGGAGTCGCAAATGTGTGTCTGGAAAAAAAAGTCCTTGAATCGCTTTTTACACATGTTCAAGTGCTTTCCCACCTGCAGAAAACTCCTGAAAACTTCCTGATATTTCCAGTCTGAGCGTCATGTGTGAACACAAACAGCTGAATGTTTCTCTCTTCACCCGGAGTTTCTCCTCCAGCCTCCTTGTATTTATTCTGCAGAAAGTCAGAGTGAGCTGATGTGAGAACGCAGCAGGATATAATCAGGAGAATTCACCTGGAGCGAGTGGGAGGGGGTGGTGACGTTTATTCCCTGTGATCGCTGCACGACCATAGACTGTCTGCACGCCACCTCTACCATCTCTGTGCTCTAATGAACCTGCTGCATTATGTTTCCTGTTCTCCAGTATGTTCTTCTCCACTCTTTAGTTCACATTGTGATTCTGTTCAACTACACTTAGCATTGATAGAAATACACATATTCTCATTATAGCGTCGTGTAGCGGACTCTGCTGCTTCGTTCTTTTTACATCTTGACCTCCCGCCCCCCCTCCTGTTAGTAGGAGGAGACACAGGGTCAGTACTGATGACACACCTGAGGGGGGTGTGGTAGCTCTGTCTCTGTAACCTTTATTAGCAGCACCTGCGGAGGAGCTGGCGGAGGAAATTGGTTTTGAGTTGAAGAGACGCCGCGAGGACGCAGACACCTGAGAGACTGAATCTGAAGTAACGTTTGTTTTTGTTTCGACACTTCACGGTTGCTTTTTACACATGAACTAAACTGATATGAAAGAGAGGGCTGGCAGAGGAGATCGCACCCCAAGTGGCTTTGTGGATCGGGCTGTCCGAGTGAGCTGGTCACGGCACGTACGAGGAGTCACCTACGCGCACCCCTCAAACAGACAGGACAGTTGTACACATGTTCAGATAAGGCAGGATACCCATTCACGTTTACGCAACACGTAAGGAGAGGCGTTTAGGTTACGGGCTCACTGGCCTTAACATAGGCGCTAGGATAGCATTTAGCTGTGGGGCTGTGTTAGCTCGTAACAAAGACAAATATTCTCATTATAGCGGTGTGTAGCACCTGCATCTCTGTCAGCGCCCCCTCCTGTCTGACAGGGATAGTCTCCCGCTGTGAGGTGCATGTGTGAACAACCAGGTCAGGAGGATTTCAGGGACAGTCCTCCTGAAGTTATGTAGAAACTTTCAGGAGTGCAGATGTAAAACCAGCTTTTGTTGTTTTCATTTTTTTCTTCTGGACGGCACAATTTCTCATTAAATAAATCTCATTGGTTGAAAAATGTGAGAAATTTGTGTCTTGATTTTGCATGATGGATTTGGCCGAGGGTCCTCAAGCTGGACCAGGTGAGAACCAGAATGAAGCGAAGGCTGAAGTGAGTTTGCATGCAGAGACACATTTTAGCATTAGCTAGCTGGTATGCTGGCACATGAACATGATGATTACATGGGCAAATCAGTAATCCTCCTGGGTTTAATGGGATCCTTAAACTGGGTATTAAGGGGAGCAGCTAAGCCTGGTGATTGTCAGCACTTGGCTCCATGGAAGCAGGGGAAACAGATGGGGACACAGCACAATAACAATGCATAAACAAGTGGACATGTCAAAAAGAAAGGCTGCCTGAATTAATACACACATGAATAAATCCAGTGTGTCTGTAGCACTGGGTGCTTTGCTTCATTGTTTCCATTACCTCAGAGCTACAGTAACTTCATATCCCCGCAGAGGTAACAGGTGGGTAAATGGTGAGTCTGCAAACACAACCGTCTACCACCTCAGTGACAGTGAAAAGATTGAAACAAGTAGAGAAGCTGAGAGAGAGCTGTGTGAGTGCAACATAACGATGCAGGGAAGACCAGGCCTGGCCTGTTTTTTAGAGAGAGGTCTGTGGCCTCTGATCCCTACCGGATAGCCTTCTGTTTTCTTCTGGCACCACTTCAGTAAAGCGTTTCTCTTAGATCCTCCATACTCCCGCGCCAGAGCAGCCAAGGGGTCCTTTCTTTCCACGCTGTCACCAGGGAAACACAAACCGTAATCACATGGGGAGAGAGAGAGAGGGGGGGGGGGGAGAGGGGGGTAAAGGTTGTCATTTGGACTTTGGAGGGAGTAACGTTTGATCACCTCATTGAACTAACATCCTCACACAAACTTTACCGCACCCTAAATTTCAGAAGCTTTATTTATAGCCTGATACTTTGAGTTACAGATGTCTGGTGATTTCAGAATTTGTTGTAGTTCTCAAATGTCCCTTGGATAAAAACAAAGTCCATCCGTCCATTTTCTTCCTCTCATCCGGGGTCAGGTCGCCATAGCAGCAGGCTAAGCAGGTTGCCCCAGATTTCCCTCTCCACGGCGAGGTTTTCAAGCTCCTCCTGGGGAATTTCTGAGGCGTTCCCAGGCCAGACGGGAAGTTTAATCCCTCCAGACAGTCTTCCCCTGGGTCTTAATTTCACACATCTCAGGAGTCATGGATTTCGATCACAAAAAGGGAACCCGGCTGCTTCATCTTGTGTTATCATATCAAGTTCTAACCTTCTTTGAAGTTTGATATATTTGCATCAGAGTTCAGTTTCCTCTGGAGTGAAGCCAACATTACAAAGCTTCAGAATTCAGAATTCAGAATGTACGAGCGTCAGCAGAGCCTCCTTAAGCTCAGAGTGTTTCAGTTCCATAAGTTCATGTGACGCGATGATGTAAAATCAAAAAGTAATGGTTTTGAATAATCCTGATCATGATTTTTGTTTGCTCTACAGTCTGGTGTATTGTTCAGAGGCGCTCCTCCCTGGGGTTCCTGCTGCAGTCGAGGCCATGGGAAGATTATGAGACACGGTCATTGCTCTGTGCATGGTAAACATTTCACACGTCACTGAAGCTCTGCTGTTAAATTCATTATGTTTCTGTCTGAGGCACGACGGCCTGAAGCACAGTGAGCTGAACAAACACACATGACAAAGGAGGAGAGGCGTCTATCAGCGGTGATACTCCTGCTACAGAGATGAGGCCTGAGAGAAGGTCTGACATGTTAAAATAAGACTACACAATAAATCACAAATGCATCGTTATCACGATATGATATGATGGTCGAGGGCAGAGAGCTTGACATTGTCATGAGACCATAGGATGAACGGATCAGGCTGGACAGACAGGTTTTCTAGTTTCTGGATCCCGGACACTTCAGTGTATTAAAGTTAACAATACATCATGATGGTTGGCTTCAGCCTCCCACTCTGACAACACGTTCATGTGAACTAGCACTGAGTCATCTGCTTCCAGCGTGACCTGCGGCAGGTGTAGTCAAGTGTTTGTTTAACTGTGTATTACAAGTTAGAGATTAAAACCTTGTTTATTTAACATCTGCCTGTTTTTCATTTCTGCTGAGCAAACACTCCGCCCGCCGTGTTAGAGCCAACTCGAGCGCTAGTTAAAGCTGTGCAGGATGGAGGCGCTCTTTTCTTGTCTTAATAACGCTGTGAACGATTTGACAGCAGACAGTGAAGACAGTTACATTAAAGCAACACTATGGAGGAATTCAGTTTGTAACGCTTTGGTGCCCACCGAAGGTTTGAGTACAACTGCACCTTCATCAAACTGCTGTTACATCTGTCCCTCTTAGACAACGTGCATCTGATGACAATCAGAGGGCGCCGAAGTCGGCAAAGACGTTAAGAGAAGCCAAAGAACCACGTGGACTGACGGGGTTCAGGAATATTACTGATCAAATCTGACTCTGCTAGCGTCTACAGCCCATTGTTTGCTAACTGTTAGCATGTGGAGTATGTGTATGTGAATTCAACTGTTACCATGACGACTATATTTGACATATTTACGACTTCTATCTGACAGGAATACATTAGTTAATATAAAAACACAGGTGTACCATTTTCAATACTGTTATGTTACAAGAGTTTTTGAGGAGATAAAGACACGTTTCAACATCGCTCAACAGCTACAATCAAATACCTCAGACAAAACTACAGGACGGGTCATTTAGGACGAACCTATACCTGAGCTTGCTGTTGCCTCTGTTGAAGCTGAAGGGAGCTGTGCGGCTGCCAAACGAGGCTGGCGATTTAATGACGGACTCTAGAGACGGGCTCTTCCTCATGAGGCTTGGGGGTTTGAGGTCCTCGCTGCAACCAGAGAACTTTTCTGTTAGGGGTATGAGTGAAGGAAAAAAGAGAGAGAGGTAAAAGAGAAGAGAAGAGTAGTTTACAAACAGGAATGACATAGAAACCTTTAAAAGCACACTGTGACGTTTGTGGTTCATGCTTCATATGGCGATAAAGGCGGCGGTAAAGGGTTGGGCAGGGTCAAAACATTCAGGACCAGTGCATGAAAAAGAAAGAAAATTCACATGTATAGCTTTAGGTGTCATACTATACATGTAGGATTCTCAGAGAAAAACAAAGAAACCTTCCAGCTGTTCCCAGTCATTTGTTATGCTGATGACTCACAACTTTATATCCATGTTACACCTGATGACCAAACGAAGCTCCTTTCATTCAGTAAAATCATGGATGTCGGAAAACGTCCTACAACTAACTCAATGAATCAAAATCTGAAGTAAAAAAAGGTCATTTGGAGATGTTCCCTTCATGACATCACAAAGGGCAGTAGCCCCTCCCCCAGGTGGGTGACACTCCCACAGCTAGGTGTTTGTTCTGCCCTCTGAGTCTGCCTTCTCACTGTAAACAGTAGGACATGGAGCAAGAAAGCCCGAGACACCCAAGCCCTTTCAGAGAGGGGGCGTGGTCAGACACAGCTCATTTACATATTTAAAGGTACAGACACAAAAACAGCCTGTTCTGAGCAGGGCTGAAATAGAGGGGTTTATAGACATGATCAAATACAGGATCAGAGTGGATTTAGAACATGAAACTTCACACACATGTTTTGAGGAGCTCTGAGACTTATTTCAGTGGTTGAAGAGGAGGAGGATACGTGACCTTTAAGTTACAACATATTAACCTATCAAAGTCTTTTTTTTTCCGAGGTCAAACGTGTAAATCCGACCTAAAAGCATCAGAAATATCACTTTACATACGGAGCGCACTGACTGGAAATATCCCATAATCGTATGTTTTCAGCATCGTCTTCACAAAGTTTCAAAGAAGGAGGAGGCCTCTGTCTCGTGAACAAAAAGGTACATAGAGACTGCTGTACTGTAACAACAGTAAATGTGACGAGAAGTTTCTGTCTGTGATTCATCACAGAGATCTGAGATCATATGACGTTTGACTTGAATACCTCTGGAATTTTTTAAACCAATAACTAGTGAGTGTTTCTCTGCTCCGGTTTCTCTGCTCCGGTTGCTTACTAAAGGAAGCAGCAGAAACATCTGTTCACTGGCTGCTCACACTTTAGGAGCATTAACAGTATTTACTTTGTCAGAACCGAGTCAAACTGCCCACAAGAACAACAGCAGTCTGAGGCTGTCATCTGTTTGTTTAAGAGTTATTTCAAGCTCACTCTTTTCAAAAGGCCCTGACTCAGGGGCGCCGGATGGCCCAGCGGTTGAGTCACACGCCCCATGTACAGAGGCTGTAGTCCTCGTCGCAGTGGCCGTGGGTTCAAATCTGACCTCGGCCCTTTGCTCCCCTCCCAACATTTCCTGTCTCTCTTCAGCTACCTCCGCCCGCCCCCCCAAAAAGGCCTGGACTCATTGTAGGAGGTGGCTGTTTGACCTGAGAGCAGTGGACCCGTCCCATCACGTGTTTCATTACGACTCCATGATCTATCTTCTTCTCTTTCTTAAGTGAACTCAAAAACATCAACTACACCCCGAGAAGTGGTTTTTGTTTCATACCATACTGATGAGAGAATTCACCGTGGTTGATTCTTTTTTCCAAAGTCTTTGAGAGAGGCTTTATGAACGTCTGCCTCTGAAACCAAAACACAGAAAAAAACAACAATCAGGACTTTCAACATATCCATCTGAAAGAGCTTTAATCTCATAACTAATCTCAGAGTTAGATTATGTTAAGGAGTGGAGGTGTACCTGGATGGGGGAGACAGCAGCAGCCGGTGCAGTGCGTACAGGGATCCCACTCAGCGGACTTCTTTGGGAGGACGGCATCTGAACTGTGTGGGCAGGTCCACCTGAAAGATAGGAAAATATAACCACTGAGAACTGCAGCAAGACAGTCTCTTATATATATATATATATATATATATCAGTAAACAGAAACATGCATTCTAAGACGTCTGTTTAATGACTGTAAATAGTATCTATAAGCATATTGAAGTTCCTCAAACATAATAATCGTGGCTATTTTTAGTTTCCTTGAATTAAGGAAGCAAAGACTCAAGTCAGAGCCTATAGTGTTTAAAACCAGACACAGAGAAACAACGGTAAGGCCTACAGCAGAGGAGAAGGTCTCAAAGCTCGGACACTCTCAGGTCACATCAGGATATGAACGTAGAAGGAACATGTGAACGCATCAGCACGTTAACAGGTTCTGAAAGCAGCTTCATGAAGCTGTGGTGTCATGGTTAGTCTAGTCTTCTAGAGGGTCACGCCTACACATTCACACACTGATGGTAGAGGCTCGTTGTAGTACCACTCTTACTGACACCAAGACAAACCCGAGACCAGAGTACTCTGAGACAAGACCAAGACATCTAGGGATCAAGACCAAGACCAAGGCAGGGCGAGACTGAGACAAGACCAGGACCATAAATATCTTTGAAAAATCATCATCTTGTGTGCAGGGGGCGGGTCACTCACTTAGACGGTAACACCGGGAAGGTTGCAGCTGTAACTGGGGGATAAAATCAAACTATGAATGAATTTAAGTGATTTGTTCTTTTAGAAAGAGGCGTTTTCTTTCTAATCGCAGTGATGACGTGGAAAAATAGCCGATCAGTGGTGGTCTTGACCGGTCTTGATTTAAAATCCAGTCTGAGACCGAGACAAGACCAAAAAATTATTTCAATTCTGAGACCGAGACCTTCAGAAAGTGGTCTTGAGACCAGTCTGGAGATCAAGACTGATTTCGAGTACTTCAACACTTGTAGAGGCTGCTAGTACTGTACATAAAGACTCCATCAGTATTATCTAATCACATTCATACACCGCTAACAAAGCAGCAGGAGCAACTAGGGGTTAAGTGTCTTGCCCAATGAAACATCAGACATGTGGCTGCAGGAGCTGGGGATCATACCTCTGACTCTGAGCCACAGCCACTGCATGTTTCAAACATGCAGAGGAGCGGTGACAATAACCATGTTCCACGGTGCTGCAAAACAGAGACCCCCCCCCCATACAGTCTGCGCTCAGTCAGGCCTGACAGTCCTGCACAACTACATTAACTAGGCTGCAGAATATGACACGCTGTAGATCTCACCAGCTGTTCGCCTCTATGGTTACACTGCTGTGTGTGTGTGTGTGTGTGTGTGTGTGTGTGTGTGTGACTGGTTTGTGTGTATTCAGGTGCTGGGTGCTCACTCTGTCCAGTATCAAAGGACTTTATGAGGGATTTGACAGTAGCTCCGGGCTCTGAGTCGGCGTCCGCGCTGGTGTCCGTGGGTGTGGTCGGGATCATGGAGATGCCGCACCAGTGACGGCTGTTATCGGAGTCGGGCCCCCTCACCTCGTCACCATGGGACCTGACAGACACAATGGAAAGCAGTTGCTGTGTAGAGAAGTAGAAAGGATACACACGGGGAGATCAGGGACAACGCAGCCGCTGTTTGTTTACTTTATCAGATACACGGCTGGATCACATGGTCAAAGTCTGAAGTTTGAACTCCAAGTCTAAATTTGGATCGCCAAATAAGAGCAATCTGATCATCAAGAGACCTTCAACCCACTGCTACCCTCTGTGGACTTTGGATTGCAGAGTGAGGGGCTTGGACTCTGACTGATGTGGACCATCTTTATCAGTGATGGCGAGCATGGAATGACGAGTAAAGAGATGCACAGCCACAGTCAGACTGGTGTAGTTTCTTTTATTGATCAGTCTCATGAACAGTCAAAACAAACAGACAACACTTGAACATTTTCCTTCACAGGCACAGAAACAGTCACAGGACTTTGACGTCTTTCTTTGCAGAATAAATTATCAGCACATTCACTGTTTTGTTCATTAAAGGGTTAAACAATCACCTACCACACTGTAACCATCGTATCCTTATCGGATGTGAAGTAGGGCTGTCAGCATTAATCGCCATTAATTATGGTCCTATACGTTTTTTTTTCAGTCTCATGTTATTTTGTCCCTTCAGGCTCACCGTAGATAGTGGTCCTCAGTGTTTCCCTGTAGTCTCAGTGATGTAAAAGAAGGACACTGCTGCATCTTTGAATGTCTCATTTCACTTTAACAAACTCTCTGACAGCTCAGCTGACGAGTCCAAAGTCATATCCACCTTATGACATCACATATTGACCTATGTTACCGTTCCTTTGAGCTGTTTGACCTCAGTTTGGGATCCTTAACCACTTCCTGTTTCTGTGCTGTCCTAAGCTCCCATCTAGCAGAAGGGCCTTACTTTATTTCAAAATAAAAGCACACAGGAAGTACTCTCAGTTGTAAGCCAGTAAAACATAATTTAATTTCAAACGTGATTTAAAATGTGATTAATCGCAATTAATTTGAATTCAGTTGTCTGACAGCCCTAATCCAAATGTTTACATGTTCCAGTACCTTCATATCTGGTCCAACAATATGGCTTTCAGTTCAAATGCTCATGTATCTCAACAGAAACATGTTTCAGGAGAACCTGAGGTCCTGCAACAAGCCGCTCGACTAACACAGCAGAGAGGGCTGTGTCAGAGCTTGGCTCAAAGATAGAGTAAGAGACATATCTTTGAAAATCACATCAGAAAGTTTAAGTATATAATACATTAAAATATGGCTGAGAAAAATCTGAAAAAGTGAAACATAGTGATTCGAGAACGATCAACAGGAAGTATCAGAGGCGTAACGCCGTCTCAGCTCCTGGCTGATCGTCTGTGTGGTCGATTCTGGACAAACTTGTCAGTGATGATGCTGAAGAGTTCATCGTGTCACAGTGGTGCTTTATAGGGAGAGTAATATATTCATAAAGAAGGATATTCTCCGTCTTTGTGTTGAGTTAGACCATCAACCTTTTGGTTTGTGTGGAGAGTCAAAGAATGACTGCGAAGTACAGCGTCAGTCTTACACACTCGGGTTGGCAGTGCTCTGCTGCACACTAAATTCATCCTGTTTGTTTTTCTTTACTGGAACAAAGAATTAAAACTCTCATTCAAAAATAAATACAGATAGAAACAGAGCGGATGATGTGTCTATGTGAGGGTAACCCGTTTTCACTTTCTGTTCCACAGTGCCACTTACTGGCTAAATATGACACTGCATTCAGTTAATTACCAACAACAGGACCAAAGGCCAAAACTCAAGTCTTTAAGGAGCAGTATGTGAGATGTGTAGTGAGTGAAATGATAAAGTGATCTTACTGTATGATCAGACATTAATGAAACATGCTATGTTGAAGTGCTGGCTTCTCTGACAACAATGCAGCAGCCAGTATGTCCTCCTTCTAACTTTAGATTCTGGTCTTGAATGCTCTGGATTTGTTTGGACCAGAGAAGGTAGGTGGTTTTAAGGCACCCCCACACGGCTGTTTTGGACGCCCCTCAGTTTGTCAGATATGAGACCAGTTTACCGGGTCAAACCAACAGGTGTTGCAGTGATGGTAGCAGGCAAGAGAAGTGGTTCAGATAGAAGTGATTGTACCCGACCTAAAAAGCCTCTGCATGTTTCTAATAAGCTCCACGAGCAGAAACGTTCTCAAACTAGGATCAATATTGGAGATGATTTTGAAAAATGGAGAGAGGTTAGAACACAGAAAGGTTTACAGACTGATGCAGAGCTGGATAAACACTGAAGCTTCAGTGTCCACCACATGGTGACCTGTGTGAGCATCAACTCTAGAGAGGAGGGGGTGAGGGGAGACAGCTCTCTACAATGTTTAGAATTCAGACTGCAGTACCCATTTTAAACACTAGGGGTCAGAGTTACATATTGCTCCTTTAAGTTGGGTTTCATGACTGTAAGATTTTGACGAACAAACAGAAGTTAAAGTGGAAGTTACTTTAAAAACAAACGTGAGGTCCAGCTCAAAAACACACTTAAGTCTTCCAGTGTCCGTGTTCTGATTCTGTACTTTTCTGCATCGTTTTTCATTTCAATGACTCAAACTGACTCGCTTACTGATAGAACTCTTGTCTTCTGCAGCTTTGCCTTTGATTGAATATTTGCAAAGTAATTTTCCTCCTCCCTCTGTTTTGTTTTTGTTGTGAAACACAGGTCCTCTCATCTAACTCGACTCTGAAAAGGCACAAATCAGCTTTGCACAGTATGAACGGGAGTCTTTCCCACATATGGCACATCTTTCCACATCTTGAGAACATTACAAAGCAAGAATACATTTGTTTAGAAGTAAAAACACAGACGTATTATTGTACAGGAAAAGAAGCCAGACGGGTTTGGCACCAGACTTTGAGTACTGCATCTACACCGGTCACTGTGGCGGATATAAAGAGACGTGTTGGAGGGAAATAAGTGCAAAAATAACATTGTCTTCACACAGCGCTGAGGTCCCAGAAACGCCATTAGTGCCCTTCTACTGCCGTCTTGGTATCAAAAGTGGCTCCGGTGCTTCGTCTGAAAAGAAGAGCGAGAAGAAAGGTGAACAACTCCACTACTGAACAAAACATATTTTACACACTGATGCAAAAACTTGGTAGCTCTCATGATATCTGAACATGTGATTGTGGAGCAGACCTCACTCTGATCCATGCACACCTCATTGGATTAATACGATCAAATCTCTATCATTGAATCACCCGCTGATGGATGTATCTGAAGCTGATGATGCATTGCATGAGTTGAATCCAGTCATGCTGTGCAGACCCATCCTGCTGTTTAACCACAACAACTGGGAGGGTTATTCATTCAAAGAACAGCAGGGGGCGCCAGATACATCTCTTTGAACTGCACTCGGCCAGCATACAGAAAGACAGACGGAGTCAGACAGGCTGAAGCAGCAACATGAAGCCAAACATAGAGGAGGAGGTGAGTGAGCAGCAGCAGCACACAGGGCGAGCGGGGAGAGGGAGAGAGAGAGAGGAGGGGGAGGCAGGCTGGCTGACAGGGGAGGGGACTCACCTGGACTTTACAAAGGGAGGCTTTTCAGAGGGACGTCTTTGACAGTCGTCACAGGGAGCTGCTGGAGGTTGGGAGCGGACGCAGCATAACAGCTAATCTTTGGGGAAAGTTCACTGATTGAGCCAAAATCTAAAAAACTGTTTTATAATGTTCTTCAATCCACAACGACGAGTCCAATCTGGTATAAACCAAATATATTCCTTCACGTTGGACACTGAAACCCCTCCTGTGAGGACTGTGAGGTGATAGCTGAGTGGATAGTAAAAGTGTGAATCATTGAGAGATGATTTGAACAGCTTAAAGGATTAAATCATGGCTGAGGACACGAGAAAAACAGAGAGTTTCACGCTCCTTCATCCCACCGCACGATGAGACAGAAACCATTTGACCTGGCATCAGAGATGGTTACTCGGCCACTAAATCGTTAAACGTTAATTATCTGCGTTCATCTCGTGAGTTTAATGTGAAAAATGGTGATCGGAACATTTCACTTCCTGTAGGTTTGGTTTCCGTTAACACCATTTTTGTTGCTTGAACTCACTTTTCGGCGACTCTCATCAGCTGACCTCATTCGCTCCTAACTCGCCGAAGAGTCGAGACTGCTGACCCTGACCAATCAGGCTCTCTGGCTGAAGTAGCCTACGAGCTGTGAATGGAAAGCCCTGGTTGGTCAAATGAGGTTTTTTTATATCAAGCCGTGGATCTTTATGGAAGTGTTTGGACTGAATCTTTCTCTGGATCTGGGGGCGCTGGTATTCAGTGGTTATGGCTCGTGCCCCATGTACAGAGGCTATAGTCCTCGTCACCGCGACCGGGGGTTTGAATCTGACCTCGGCCGTTTGCTGCATGTCACCCCCCCCCCCCCCCCTCTCCTCCCAAATTTTCCTGTCTCTCTTCAGCTGTCCTCTCAGTAAAGGCTTAAATGGCCCAAAAATATCTTTAAATATCTCTGGATCTGGATGATGGGGACCGTTGTTGATGCAGCAGGACCGTTGTCATGGTAATATTATGACCTGGAGGACCTGGGGCAACAGAGCCCCCTGTCCCCCCGTGACTGTACCGACCGCCCATGGTTCAAATCCCTGATCTAACCCTCCTTTTCAGACCTGCTTTGAATCGCTAATGTTGCTTTTTGTTTCATTGTTTTCATGTTTTAGTTTCCTTCAAATTGTTTTATCTGAATGTAACTCTGTAAAGTTTCTTTGAGTGTTTGGAAAATCGCTATGTAAATAAAATGTATTATTATTGAGAGAACAGTTGACCTTCAGACGGTAAGAACAATGGATCAAGATGGATTAGGTTGGGTACAATCACTTCTATCTGAACCACTTCTCTTGCCTGCTACCATCACTGCAACACCTGTTGGTTTGACCTGATAACTGATCTCATTTTTGGGCGTCCAAAACGGCCGTGTGGGGGTGTCTTAAAACCGCCTACCTTCTCTGGTCCAAACAAATCCAGAGCATTCAGGACCAGAATCTAAAGTTAGAAGGAGGACATACTGGCTGCTGCATTGTTGTCAGAGAAGCCAGCACTTCAACATAGCATGTTTCATTAATGTCTGATCATACAGTAAGATCACTTTATCATTTCACTCACTACACATCTTACTGGTTGGACCTTTAATAACTGCATTAACTGATATGGAAGGTAACGTCTTTGTTAACTGCCTGGCATGATTAAAACACTTCTATACATTATAGACTCACACAAACTAATCCCTCAGTCGCTGTAGAAACATCAGTCTTAGTGCTGCACTCAGTGCAGCAACATGAAGTCTGGAATAGAATTAAACAGGAATGTGAAATATGCTGCATTCATACAGATCTTCTGTATTCATATAGAATGACTGTAGAATCTCTCCTCGCTGTATAAACTGAAGCTGACTGAGACGTGTGCGCGTTGGGTGTACTGTAGGCTGTGTTCAGTGTGGTAGAGGGAGACAGAGAGGGCAGCAGCAGTTGAATATACAGAGGGAAATACTGCAGGAGACTGCTAATTTACCCGCAGAGTCTGCCAAATCCCAGCTACTTAACCTCTGAACTCCAGAGGATTGAATCTGGTGAAATACTCACATACAAACAATGTCTTAACACCATCGATGGAATTTATTTGAAACCTCTTGAGCAAGAGATTGCTGGGAGTTATGACTGCGTGTTTAACACGTCTAAAACCCTGCCCGGGGATATGGCGAGACTCTGGCAGGTATATCATCCATGTTGTGTTCAGAGAGAAAGAAACTGCAGCCCGATGCTGAACAAGGGGAGTCGAGGGGTTTTAGACGTGAGGGGGGGTAAGACAGAAAAGACGGAGCACAGAGAGGACTGTACCTGACTCCCTGCAGGGCCTCGAGGTCCGTGGAAAGCTTGGCGCTGCGATCCTGCTCCTCCTGCAGCTGCCTCCTGAGTGCACGCAGCTCCTGCTGAGCCTCCACCTTGATGTCGTTAGCAACCACCACCGCCGTCTGCAGGTCGGCCTGGAAGCGACGCCACTCCTCTTTTTCATCCTGCAGGAACAGAGGGACACGATGTTTACACGTAGGAGCATGGACAGATGGAGCAGCGAACACAGACACTTTGTGTAAACCTTCAGGATGAAGAGATGACAGAAACCTGATTAATCTAGTCCTTAAAAAATGAAACATGATGAACAAATGATTTATTTTTGGGCTTTTTGTGCCTTTATTGTAGAGATAGGACAGTGGATAGAGTTGGAAATCAGGAAGGGAGAAAGCGACGTGCGGGAAAGGAGCCACAGGCCGGGTTTGAACCTGGGCCACCTGCCTGGAGGGCTCCTCCATACATGGGGCGCGCGCATTAACCACTGCGCCACCAGTGCCCCGAAAAAATGACTTTTAAGAGATTTAATGAAGACACTCACATTATTTTGAGATCAAAAATACAAAGAAGTAAAAGATTCTCCCAAACAAACCTCCAGAAAACTTAAGAAAGAATTGTTTAAACTTCTCTGAGTCAGGGCACTGGTGGCGCAGTGGTTAGTGCATGTGCCCCATGTACAGAGGCTAAAGTCCTTCAAGCGAGCGGCCCAGGTTCGAATCCGAACTGTGTGGCTCCTTTCCCGCATGTCATTCCCCTCTCTCTCTCTCTCTCTTTCCCAGATATCCAACTCTCTCTAATAAATGCACAAAACCCCCCAAAATAAACCTTTAAACTCTAAATCTGTAAAGAAATTCAGAAACACATCAAGACCAAAGGAAACAGACTCTGAATGTGAAACACAAACGTCAGTGTGGTGATTGGACCCTTTATTTTGGTATTTTTCCTGGTGTGCTTTTGGTTTGCTCTTGCTCTTGCTTTTTTCTTTCAGAAGCTGGGCGTGGCTTATGGGATGCTTGAGCTCTCTGCAACCACACATCTGATCCTCGTCATGAATCACCTGCTGCTGCATTAACACCCTGGTTCTCCTCTCCCAGGCTGCCAGATTGTTTCTGCCTACATCGCGGTAGATCTGCCAGCTTTTAAAGTGTTCAATCTTACTTTACGTAAGCTTGAACACTTTAAACACAACGGTGCTTTTGAATTTCTTCTGTTGCTAATTCTCTGTGTCTTCTTCTTCTACCCAGCGCCTCACCACCCTGCATCTCTATCTACTCCCTGTCTTCAGCCTCAATCCTACCAGTACCCATTAAACACCCCTCATATCCATTAACCGTGCTCCCAGTCTTACTTTTGGGTCCACTTAAAAACCTTTAAAAGTTAAAACAGTGGGCAGAATAACAGACGCACTCCAGTTTGATTTTGTAAGCAAAGGAACAGAAACTTGTTTAAGACAGACTGCGACATCCTATCCTTCTTAACGCTCACTCGGCTGCTCCTCTGATTTGTGCTCAGGTGTTGTTAAAGGAAGAAAGGGAGCGCCAGGAGAAGAGGAGAACAAAGGAAGATCTGATCCCAGGACTTCTCGATCACATAACAATGTGATAAAAATAACTCACTGAGTCATCAGGACTAAAGAACTGTTAGCACAGATATCATTTTATTGAGCAGTTTCACGGGTGGGCATGATTAAAGCTTCTTACCTTAATCTGTCGAGTAAGCATCTTCAGGTGTCGCTCTGAGTCTGTCTTCTGCTCCTCCAGCTTTTTGACCAGATCTGCAAGGTCAAGGTCAAGGTCAAGGTTAGAGAGCCCGGACTTAGGCTACACTCAGGCAAGAAGACATTCATTATTCATTCAACCTTTATATATTAATGATGAGGAATCATCCCTCCTCAGTGATGTAATCAACATGATGATATTCCTGCTTTTGAATCACATGTAGACTACGGGCTGAGGGGCCCGGAGTGACCAGCGTCTGTAATGAGCCTGAGGCCGGAGTGATACATCGAGTTAAGGAGAGTAAGGGTGGAGGCGGAGTCGATCCTACAGACAACGTCTCCATAATCCAGAAGAATCTGAATGTTCTGACAGGATAATCTGACGACTTTAGTTTCTTTGATGACGTTTAGACCTCTCAGAAACTACTCGATGTGTACCCAAAGATGAAACGCATCGACCTGCTGTGAGGGGAATCACTCAGCAGGATGCATGATCAACACGATACAGACTATTCTTAATAGTGCTACAGTAAACGGATGAACGAGCCATCACCCTCAGGACCCTCAGCAGCCCTGCGTCCTGCATCCCTGTTAGGTTATGAAGAGCACGTGTCCTAACATGATGCACCATTAAAGCCGCCCACAGAGCGTGAGACAGCTGAACACTTCAAAGCACATACTCTCCATGTCCAGAACAGCTTGGTTGGTGTGGCAGTTGACGGCCCTCTGCTGCTCCACCTGGTCCTCCAGCTCAAAGATGGTCTCCTTCAGCTCCTTCAGCTGGTTCTCAGCCTGAAGCCCCGCCTCCTCCAGAGAAGTCACTCGGCTGCTGAGCTCCTGCTCCCTCTTGTCTGCTCGCTCCGTCACCTGCTGGCATTTGGCCTCCACCTGTGTGTGAGTGCACATCGGACAGATTGAGATGGATTAAGCACTGCAGTCAGCCCTGGATCATGACAGGATAGTTTATGGTTTCTTCCTGAGGTAACTTTTCTATTTAATCCCGACATTTTAAAAGACTGAATCAAGATTTCTGGCTTTCCATCGGTGCAGAATGGACGAAGAAGAATACACGTTAGCAAACCACTGACTGAGATGTCATATACGGAGGTGAAATTATGTGTTGCTGTTGTTTGCACGTGATGTGAAAACACTGATGGTTGAATTCTGTGATATTACCATGAACACGATGTATCTGTACCTGGCGGATCATGTGATGCTGTTTGCTTGGTTTAACACCTCAGCGAGGTGCTGCCGAACTAGAAGCATCACAAACATTAGATATATATGAAGTTATAGAATTAGCTTCAGCAATGTCTCTCAAACTGGCCGCAGTGTAGGCATGGGCGTGTCCAGAGGGGGAAATGGGCCCCTCTTGAAATCTGACTGGCCACCCCAGTTGCCACCACAAAATCCCAAACTATGATTGGCTATATACCTAAATAGAGGCGGGACAACGGGCTGCAGGTAGTCTACGTGTCAGCTTGGTATGTTTTCTTTGGTCAGAACTTTCATTAATAAATAAAAACTTTGTTCAAGTCCAGATGCTGACCATATGGAAGTTGGTCTGGTAGCTGGAGAGATGCCAGAGCACTTCCTGAGCACTACCGAGGTGCCCTTGAGCAAGGCACTAAACCCTCAACCGCTCTGGTGCACTCCCTGCTTAGCAGTGTGTAGCACTAATGCTATCCACAGGTCCTGTTTGTGCATGTGTGTGATTGGGGTCTATGTGTGTGAGAACAGATTGTAAAACCAGAATTTCCCTCAGGGATGAATGAAGTATATCATATTCAAAAAATTCTAAAAAAATCTCATCAGACCGCTGCTTTGGGAAGGAATTCATCCATAAAAATTTGCAAGACAACTTTTGCATTCTGTCTAAATAGCAAAGCATTTATTAGCTTTGCATGGGTACAGAAACATTGATAGTAAATGTATTTATGCAGGTTAGACTGTGAAGAAGGATGTTTGTTAGTGAAGCTCTGAAGTGGCCTCTCCCTCACAGTCATGTGATAGAGCACAGGAGTGTGAGTCATAGAGGGTCAAATACCGGTGAACCACCCTGCGGATGGCGCTGCAGTCGTGGTCGGACAGGCTGATGGTGACACGCCTCACTTTGGACTCAATAACCACCAACATGCCCACAAAGCCACAACGCCTCCGCCTCTGCTGTTTGTGGTTTCTGAGGGGAAAACCGAACGGACAACTGAGACACATACGAAAGTAATCAGACAGAGTATGAGTTCATGTTCTGTGGTGCCCAATACCAGCTGTGACGTCTGATTAATGGTCACGTTTGAACTATCGGGGAAAGTATTTGTCCTCGTGGTGACAGGAGGTGACGGAGTCAGGATGTATCGTTTATGTCATATCAGCCCGTTTCACCTACATATTCGAAACATTACTAGTTGTGAGGTTGGTTCAGATCTATTTATGATCTATTGCTACATAAATGACGAGTGGAGCGCTTCGGCTGCTTTCACAGTTTACAGTAAGAGGTCGTTGTATTAGAGCATTCCTGATCGCTTTGTCAAACTCCGCTCAACCAATGAGCTCAGGACGTTTGAAGAATCACAGCCAGTCTCATATTATTAGTCAGGTCCTACACAGGAGGGGACACACACACACACACACACACACACACACACACACACACACACACACACACACACACACACACACACACACACACACACACACACACACACACACACACACACACACACACACACACACACACACACACACACACACACACACACACACACACATTCTCTAACAGAAAATGGATCTCTGGATGTCACACCCCCTCCTACCTTGGACATTGTTGCTCGCACATGCTCAGTGGTGGCCTGGGCCTGTAGCAGCTCCTGCCTCAGCTCGGTCAGCTCCATCTCCAGCCTGTCTCTCTCAGTGTGGGCTGTTTTCAGCAGGTTTTGCACCTCAGTGGTGTCACTGGCACTCTGCATGGCCTTCAGCTCAGACACTTTTTGCCTCTCTATGTCCACCTGTGCCTTCAGCCTGCTGTTTTCCAGTCTGAGAGAGTCTGCTGTTGCCTTTTGCTCCTCCGCAGCCTGTGCTGCTTGACCCCGGGCCTCCAGCTCCCCGTCCAGCTGGGCCTGCAGCCTGTCCATCTCTTCCCTGAGACAGCGCACCTGGCCCTGGGCCTCTTGGTGCTCCCCCTCCAGATCCCGCAGGCTGCCGGTCAGTTGCTGCTGGATGTCCACCAGCTTCTCCCGTTCGAATCGCGAGCTCTCGATCTGCTCAGCATACCTCTGCTCCAGCTCGGCCAGACGAGGCCCTTGGCTTCCGAGCTCCTCCTCCCTCTGGGCCTGAGCCTGGGCTTGCTCCTGAAGCCGACCAGCCAGTGCCTCATTTTTCTGGGTCATCACTTCAACACGCTCTCTCTGCTGTTGAAGTGAGGCCTGCAGGAGACGCTTGGCCTCTGCCAGGCGCTCATTCTCGGCCGTCAGCTCCTGCACCACTTGTTGCTGGTCAGCCAGCTCCTGCAGAGTTGCCTGCAGCTCCTCAGCTGTGCTGTGGTGGCTTTCCTCCATCTTATGAATCTGTTCTGTCAGGCTTTTTACTGAAACATCCGACCCCCTGGCATTGGTGACTCTCCCCGCCACATTGGCCTCACCACTCACACCGCTGCTCACCGATTCTGAACGTGATGGGATCTTCTCAAACTCGGAGGAGTCGGGTGATGGTGAGTCTTTGGTGACATCTGAGTCGGAGGAGGCCGACATTTTGAGAGGTCTGACAGTTGAAGTGAGACTGTCCTGTTGGGTAGCAGAGGAGTTGGAGTCTGAGGGCAGGCCATTAACCAACAGTTTGGAGGGACTGTCTGTGTTTGTGCAGGAGAGAGGAGAGGCCTCCACGCTGAGCAGCTTCTCCTTCAGCACCTGGTTCTCCTCCCTCAGCGCTGCAAGCTCTCTCTGAAACTTCCCGTTCTTCTCCCTCAACTCCCCAACCAGCACGAGCGCCTCTGCCACCTGCCCCTGCTCTCTGTCAGCAGAAGGCTCTTGCCACGAGACAGAGCTGGGTGAAGTAGAAGGGGAAGCAGTGGAGGCTCTACCTTTGCAGCGCTGTAACTCCATCCTCAGGTTGCTGATCTCTAAGTCTTTAGCCTTGGCCTCGGCCAGCAGCTCTTTCACCTGACACTCCAAGAGGCCCCTTTCTTGGCCCTCTGCATCTGCCCGGGACTTTGTTGATGCACGTGTCTGCTTTGCCAGGGTGGAGAGACTGGAAGTGCTGGCACTGGAAACCATCCTCTTAGTGCTAGAGCTCCTCAGCTGCTCCCTCAGAGACGTGCGGTCTCTTGTTATAGTGCAAGGGATTTCTCGAGGAGCTGGGATACCAGACTTCTTAGTTGTTTGTGCACCTGCAACAAAAAAACAAGGTTCAGTAAATACGAGTATTATCCATGACCTTGTTTTCTTGACTTCGCAGTAGATAAGTGAAAAGGTCATAACATTAAACATGGGAGAAATAAAATAATCTGCTCCTTTGTCTGCAAACTTCCCCAAAACAAAGAAAGCATCAGAGAAATATATGAATTAAAATCAACAGTTGTGTTTAAGCACCCGTTTGTATCAAATAGAATCGGTTTTGGTTTTTGAATCGTGAGCCCCAGGATATAATTGAATGTAGAGGCATTGATAGATTCACAGCCCTATCTAACTGAATAGACAGCGTGCCTCATTCAGATGCTCGTGTTACTCAGCAGTTTCATGTCGCTGCTCGCTGTTCATTTATTGTTCTCTGTTTGGATAGCAGATCATCCGCCTGGCACAGTGTGTCTGTTGGTGTCAGTGGTCATTCATCGCTCAGCAGAGCTTAGCTGTGGCATTTCAGAAGGCATCAGCATGGGTCGCAGGCACCAGCCTTTTCCAGCCCTCTCTCAAATATGAAGAGTATTTACTGATGCCCGGCGAGAGCAGGGTGCCGCCTGACAACGTTGTATTGTTTGTTTTCTGATCATCAGCAAACAGCCATGCAGACACAAGGGGCTTGTTTGTTTCAAACCATGACAAAGGTCCCTGTGCACGTGGAGCGTTCAGGCACAAAGAGGCTTAAGCAGTGCACTGACAAAGACGGCTCTGTCCCACACACACACACACACACACACACACACACACACACACACACACACACACACACACACACACACACACACACACACACACACACACACACACACACACACACACACACACACACACACACACACACACACACACACACACACACACAACACACACACACACACACACACACAGCCTGTGTGCTGAGATAGACGGAGCATCATCACCCTGAGCTACACAGGACACACTCATACACACATACACAAACAAACAGCCTGGTTCGGGATGGAAATCCTATACCCCTGTGGGTTCTTTAAGTACTCAGCCATTGATAGACTATCCTCTTATTGAATCAACTCACTGCCAACACTGGCACCATTTCTGGGGCACAAAGCCGTTTAACATTCCCAGAGTGTGCAGCTGTGTTGGAAAGAGTGAAGGGCTTGAGGCGGAGAGGTGAAGGCAGAACATGAATATATAGATCTGAAACAAATGTCAGCTCTTTAAGATCGGAGCTTCAGTTTGAGATTCTTGAGAGGGGGGACTTTGAAAAGGAACGGGAGCAGCTGCGTCTGTTCTGAATGTCACCGAGATAACGCTGTCAATTAAAAAGCAACTGCAAGTGTTTCACACTGAAGGGGACGCGTTAACAAACATTTCCTCCGTCCGTCACTCAGTAAGATGAGAGCACCACTGGACCCACCTGCACTTGAAAAAGACCCCCACGTGCCCGCACAGATCTACAGTCACTTTAGTGTGTCTGTGCTTCACAGAGGTGAATCCATGAGTGACAGAATGAGGACAGCATGCACTCCCAAATTATGTACCGTCACATGGAAGAGGTTAACACAAAATGAGCTCTGTGCGTTATAAACGACTATTTACTGTGAGCACTGCAAGAAGCAGCGTCCAGACAGGGAGAGAACGGGATACCTCACAGCTCACACCTCTTGTATATGCACCAGTAATACTCTCATTAAAGTTAGTAAAGAGAGAGAGAGAGAGAGAGAGAGAGAGAGAGAGAGAGCCGTCTGATGTGATTAAAATCAGTCGTTTCCCATGAGGCTGAGTGATGCCAGCAGTGGGACATTGGCTGTTCCTTCATATTCTCTTCTGTCCTCTGACAGAATAAAACCCAGATGGAGCACATGAACTCGATCATCTTTAGATCGCCCACCTCTTTCACCATGACATCACCACAGCTGCTTGATGTGAACACAGACAAACGACACCACAGTGGATGCCAGGAGTCGGCACATGCACGACTAAAGGGTTAAAGAGCCACTAGAATACAGGGTCAGGCGGTTAGAAATGAAGAACGTTTGCAGACTGTATTCTTACGTCTGTAACAGAGGATGAACTTTATGCATTTAGTCAGCATCATTTCAAATATTTCTGCAGTTTAGTGATGTTGCAGAAACAGACGGATGTATCATTGCTCAGTCCCAGTATACCCCTCGACCCTACCACTTAGCCCTACCCCTACATGTTTACGTCTAGTGGCAGGGTTTCCTGATTCTTGTTGGACTGGAGGGATAGGGTGAAGTGCACTCCAAACACAGTGTTATGAGAAATCTCCCAGAATGCCTGCCCGGTAACGTCGGCTCCTTGGTTTGTGTAAATGCGGTCAAAGAGAACGACTGATGGTCGTCCCATTTCACAGGAGGAGCATCAACCACTAGCTAACTCTGTTCTGAGGGGCACTCGACATCGAGGGGAAGGGAGTAAAGATTAGAAGTATCAGACTCCCAGAGAGAAAGATTTTAAAAATGCCCGTTCCAAATGTTGGCTGTTCAAACGATATTTGATCCTCAACAATATTGTTGTATTGAGTTGATACTGCCCGACACTGAGTGTATCAGCGAGTCTGAGCACGCTGCCTGGGAGATTAAAAAATACCACGTCAGTTAATAACAAGTATCCAAGACCAATACACACGCTGCAGAGAGTTTATTATTAAAATCTTAACTTCCTCAAGTGTCCACTGTGGGAGAGCCATCTGAAGGCAAAGCTTTATCTGAGAGAAAGAGCTGAGATTAGATTCTACTCTGAAACTATAAGTGCTGTCACACCTGCAGAAAACGACTAATTTCAGAGTGAGCTGATGTGAGAACGCAGCAGGATATAATCAGGAGAATTCACCTGGAGCGAGTGGGAGGGGGTGGTGACGTTTATTCCCTGTGATCAGATAGACTGTCTGCACGCTCTGGTGACAGTGGTTGGGACTCTGGTAACAATGGGTGGGACTTTGGTAACAATGGGTGGGACTTTGGTAACAATGGGTGGGACTTTGGTAACAATGGGTGGGACTTTGGTAACAATGGTCTTCCCCCGCTGACTGACTGAGTAAAGGATCTTCCTCTGATGGCGCATTCAGAAGTGTAAAAAATCTTGTGTGTACATCGTATCAAATCTAGTTCATTATGGTGCTGTGAAGTATTTGCTCCTAGAAGCACGCTTTTGTAAAAATGTAAACTGAAATATTGAAGGGCAAGGTGGTCTAGGATTAGCATTAGCGTTCTCTTTGTAGGTCCAGGTCCATTTATAGCTTCCTCTGAGACTTTCTCTTATCTGTGAACAGAAGTGGAATGGGAAGTTAACAGCCCAGCAGGGAGCTTTGTACCGCTTGGAGGAGATAAATCCTCATGCAGTCCTAAGAGACAGACTCTTATTGATAAGGAAGTGCAAAAACTGTTAAGAGGAAGAGATGTGTTATAGAATGGATACAGTGCTGGAGGTGGAGCCCTGTTCGTTTCGTATGAAAGCAGCTCAGTGGTGCATAAAGCAAAAAAAAAAAGTCTTCTTCAGCGTTACTGCTCCCATAGATTTAAAAGATTTTTTTGAACGTTCATATCAGGAAGTTGATGTACATGAAAGAAATTATCCATTCATTTTTAGACGTCTCTTTCCTGACGTAAGCCTATGGGGGAAAGTCCTTCTGGGTCCAATGGCATGACGTGACTCTGCAATACCAGCTTCAGCCACGATGTAAAACTGGCTTCAACGGTCATCGCACTTCCTGGGGGCTTGGTTTCAACAGTAGTTTAAAGAACAGACTTGGGGGCAGACCCTCCCTCAGACTGGACTTATGAATGTGTTGTGATCTAATTATTTAAATTAATTCAGCTGATTGACTTCCAGTCACCCAAAGGCATCCAGTTATTTCATGGCAAGCCCGCTCCTCGACCACAGTGAGCCATTGTGCCGTCTTCTTTCTCTCTAATGAAGATAAGCTTTCAGATCCCAGCCAGAGTCGTGTGGCTGGACTCGGTCCAGCAGCAGCCAGTTAACTGCAGCCATCCTGCCAGCGTGCCAGCCGAGAGGTGACAGAGTACACAGTGAGCAAAGTGCACAGTGTCTCCAATTAACAGAACAGAGGGGTCACTGGAGAGGAGGCTGAATGAATTCATGTCTGCAGGTGGTGAGGGGGTCAGAGAGTTGGCAGCTCAAATGACGCACCGGCCCTCGTCACTCTGAATGGAAATCTCTTGCTGCCAGTCCTCCGTCTTCCCCGTCCAGGAAATGTGGCGGGCAGATTTACAGTAAGGTGGAAGTGGAGAGGAGAGATAGACACGTTGGGTCAGTGTTTCTGGCCTTCCTGTTGTCCATCTGACGGGTCATGGAATAGGTCAACAGGCGCCCCACAGACTCACAAGCATTCCTTTCCTCTTACTGGATCGGAAGACATTCAGAACAGAAGCTCCATGACGGCCACAGTGACGGAGCAGAGATTAGGCAGACGCTGAGCTGCTTCACATCAACGTGCCACGGACATTCACCACAGCACCGCCTGTAGAGGATGGTATGCACCTTCACTAATCCAGCTATTCTCCCTCGATTTATACCTGCCTTTGTAATAAAGATATTTCCATTGAAATGTCACATCAAGCTGATCTCAAGCCTGCTTTTCAAACCACAGAGGCAACTGTACTGTTTTGAACAGCAACACACTGCAAGGGGATCAGTGTGTGTGTGTGTGTGTGTGTGTGTGTGTGTGTGTGTGTGTGTGTGTGTGTGTGTGTGTGTGTGTGTGTGTGTGTGTGTGTGTGTGTGTGTGTGTGTGTGTGTGTGTGTGTGTGTGTGTGTAAATCAGATCCACTACAGTATATCATCAAGCTTCAGAGATTTTCTGAAAGCTTACAAACAGTCTTTGCACCTGAGCTGGAGGAGTAACTTAGCAAAATAAAACAAACTTTTTTTGTTGTCAGCATCGATATAAATATAACAATATTGTCTTACGCTATACCTCGTCTGAAGATATATCGATACGTCATAAAAACCTGATACACCACCCAGC